AAATCTAAAGGCTGTATATGTTTTCCATTTATTAAATTGTATTGCTAAATCTGTGCTTTTCATCCATGTTTTAATAGCTTTATTTTATCTACACAGTCTAGATCTAACCATATCCCAGTTGTATGGATTGGTTCATTATAAGATTTCATTGGGTTTATTTCTTTTATGGACTGTTTTCTTATATTTCCGGTGTATCTTTTCTGTATTTTTCTATATTGATTAATATCAGCCTTATTAGGTATTGGGGTACGATAAGGATAATCAGTTTCTTCATCACTACTAAATTCTATTTTTATATTCTGGCTTGAAGATTGATTAGTATTCATCTTTGTATTTTCCATTTTTTCAGTTAATTCTTCTAACTGTTTTTTATATTCTTCATACTCTTCACCTGTAGATTATAAGAATTTTTGTTCTATTTCTTTTATATCTGTAATCATATATTATTTTTCTTCATTTTTTTCCCTTTATTATTTTCTTTTTGTATTATCCTAAAATCTTGAGGTGAATTAATTATAATCCTATATTTTCCTTTAAGATTTTGGTCTAAAAGAGCATTTTCTACTTATAGATTATATTTTAGATTTTCTAATCTTTTGTGTATATCTTCAAAACTTTCATTTGTGGTGTTTTTAGGTAAATAAGGATAACTAGGTTTTTTATGTTTTTCAACTTTTTTAAAAAATTCTTCAATTATTCATCTACTATATTCATCATGACTTTTGGTTCGTAACATGGCTCTGATACCATTTCATTGGAATGTGCAGCGGAGGGATTAAGATTTTTGAGCCAATTTAAATTTTCATAAGTATTTAAAATATCACAATAGAATTTATAAAATTCACTATTTTTTATTAATACTTTTTCTTCAATAATTATATTTAGTTCTTTAATTCTTCTTCTCAGGTTAAGAATTAGTTTATATATATCATTTTCTGTTTTAATTGTACTATTATCTGTAGAAACATTTTTATTTTTTAATTTTGGATCTAAATATTCTGCAAAAAATCCTTTCAGATCTTCTTCTAAATAATTTAATTCATTTTCTATTGCGTTTTTTAGATCAATAAAATTTTGTATAATATTTGGGGTTAAATTTATTAAAGATTTTAGATCTATATTTCTTTGACCTAATTGAAGGTTTTTATACATTATAATGGCTTTGGTTGCAATTTCACAATAAGGGGTATTTTTGGAAAGATATTTGTTTAAAGGCTATTCTTCAAATGTTTATATTTTTTGGTCTAATCTTACAAACTACTCTAATATTTAGGCTATCAAGAGGTATTTCCTCGTTAGGTGGGAGGACTCACATTTTTTTCTTACAACTTTTTGTAGACATTACTTTACGAAAAAAATTATAGCAGTGGTCTCTAATCTTTTCAATTTTTGTAGACTTTATCTAAACATTCAATTTGTACCAACGAGAGTCCCTGACATTTCAACATTATGCAATTGGGTCCAAATGGATTTGACCTTTAGTTAACATAGAAAATTGAATTTTAATAAATTTTGATCAAATTGAAAGAAGTAAGCCCTTGTTTGAGCCATATTATTTTCATAAGAATACATTTTTTAATAGTATATTAATGAAAAATGTATGGTTAAAAAATAAGGAAAAATTTTGTATTTATATGTAATATTTTTTTAATTGAAGAATGTGTAGTTAAAATAATATCAAATCACTGTTTAAAAATTTATTTTTTTGAAAGAATATTGATCAAATAGGGCCTAAAATGGTAACTTTGTTTTTTTATAAATAAAATAATTAAAACTAAATTAAAAAACCAAAAAGATAAAAATAATAATAATAATAATAATTCAAACTCTTCTTTCCCAACACCTCCACAAAATCAGGTACTTTTAAAAATGACCTGGTTAAATCTTATATTTTTCACTTTAACTTTTCAACTGTTTTATACTTTTACAATGACCTTTTGGATGGTAAAAGACAAAGATGCGTTAAGTAAATTATACAATTACAAAACATTGTTTTGTTTAAAAGACAACACTACATTTTTAGATAACAAGTGAAAATCGAAAGCTTTCCAATTAAAAATTTCAAAATCAGCTAAATTTTCTTATATGTTTATTGCAATACAAATAAAAACCCTCTCATATTCGATCTTCTTAAATCTTAAAATCTCATAAATTTATCAAACGCTTAACAAAAAAATATTTTTTATATCAATCACTTCAAATCGGTAAGTATATTTACGTAAGTTTAATTTCGTTTTCGTTAAATTAGTATACGATTTTAATCGACAAATCTTATTTCGACATATATTAACACGTATATAAATTTTTTAACTGATCTATAATTTTTTTAAGCATAAATAAGAAAAAATTCTTTTGTATGTATAAATTGTTTCATACCCACAATCAGCTGTAATTTTTTTTTTAATAAATTTCTATTTCTTAGTGTAGGGCCGAATTTTCAATTATTTTTTCTTATAAATAAAAATTATGTTTCATCATATAGATATGATTGTAATCCCGATTTGTTACTTTGATGATTTCGAATTAGATGAAAGGATCATATGTATGAAAATAGACAAGTGATATACGCAATGGTATTCCAATTGCCATAACAGAGAGTACATAATACGTGGGAATGTACCATGGTTTATAAAACGGGTTGAATGTCAATTCCTCTCAATACGATATAGAACTGAGATTTCAATTAAACGAGCATTCATCATTCCGATTCCACCTATAACGGTTACGTTTGATGCTAAAGTGAATTATCTATTTGAATTAAACAAAATGCACATGACTCCTCTTTGCGTGACTTTAGTAAGGAAGGATATTGCCAAAAGTGAACATGAAGATTTGGATAGAGAGGATGACAATGCCAATGATTTTTAAAACACAATGAAGATAGCTCGTAAGGATAATGTGGTTATTCTCGAAACATTTGTTCCTCATTGTGATCTTGCTACTACACACAGAATTTCGTTGCAGTTCATAACAATGAGAATGAAAATGAATTTGCAAATGAGGATTTGATTATTTTATCCCGTCAGAGACATAAGCAGAGTGAGAGCTCAAAGGTTGGATTGAGTGGACCGTTCTCTAATTCTTCGCATGTGGTTCACGATGATGAGAATTTGCATGTGAAGCAACTGCTTAAAACAAATAAAGATTTACAAGAAGTTGTGTGCAGGATAGCATTAAAAAGCAACTTTGAGTTCAAGGTAAAGATAAACAAGTCATTGTTGACAATTGTGGACATTGATGATAGTTGTTGGCATTTGCGAGCAACTAAGATGAATACAAATGAGTTATTTATAAGTCGTAAGTATACATGGGGATATACTTGTGAAGTGAGAATTTGTCAAAATGATCAAAGATAAACTCGAGCATGGTTTATTGGTCGACAGATAATGCACAAGTATTAGGACCGACGGACGATTTACTTTACGAATGTTCGAAGATCATTAATGATATCTGTTGAAAGTATGAAGTGGTCATGAGCTACCAGAAGGCCTATGAGGTTAAAGAATGTGCGTTGAAAGATTTAATGGCCTCACTGAGAAAATCTATGTAAAATTACCCTGATATTGCCATAACATGAGGACAACTAATTCTGACTTGACTTTTTTTATTGAGACGGAGAACGAGGATTGCTTTAAGTTTTTTGTATAGCTTTTGGACAATGAATTTGGGGATTTTGAAATGCGATGCGACCCACAGTTCTAGTTAATGGTATAACTCTGAAAGCTAGAAACCAAAGAAAGTTGATAATTGCTACATATCAAAATTTCAACATTCAAATTTACCCTCTTGTATTCAGGATAGTCAACAGCGAGAATGACCTATCAATGTGTTGGTTCTTTACAAAACCGAGGGAAGTAATAGGAGAAGTCGAGTATTTTGCCTTTGTAAGTGATCGAGGACCATCTATAATAAATGGTATATTTGAAGTTCTTGCTGAGGCACATCAGGACCATATATAAGGCAATCTAAAGACTAGATATCCGGGCAAAGGTATCGTTTCATTGTTTAGGAGAACAATCGAAGCTTATAGTATTGAGAAGTGTAATAAGTTTATGGTCGAAATAGGAAGTAAATCATTCCCCACATGGGATTGTCTAACAAAAATGGGAATTGAACATTGGGCAAATTACATTTTTTGAGACGTCGAACAATGCAAAGTCTCTTAAAGTATTGTTCAAGAAGGATCGAGAATTACCAATTTTCGCAATAATTGAGAAAATTCGTAACAAGCTGCAGTAGTAATTTCATGATCGACGTATGAAATTACAAAGTTGACGAGCATGCTAGCCCCGACTCAAGAAAAATCTTAACTCTCTTCAACAATTTCTTGATGAATCTCCATTTGCTTCTTCTCCTTTTTACCCAAAAACCAAGATTTAATCTTCATTCGTATGAATTCTTGCAATTATTCTTCAATTCTCTCACAAAAATTATGAATTTACACCTTCATTTAATGATAATAATTGAAAAATACTGTAGTAGGATTTGTATATGAGAGGTGTATTCTATTAGTTGCCCATGTTGTATATTTATAGAGGTGAAATTAGGTCAAAAATCATGCAAATAGTTATTTTCAAATAGAATTTTGAATGAAAAAGAAAACAACCCGCATTTGCCAGATTTGGCCTAGGCCATAATCCAGTAGGAAACTAGGCACTCTCTCAAGCAAGGTTTTAAGATTCTGTTTTTGAAATCTCAAGCCAAGCGGTATCCAGTTATACTTCTTTCCAAATATTGCATTTTGGTCCCTCCTTTCCTTTTCTCTCAGTTTTTAATTCTTCGCTTCCCATTCCACCTCTTTTGGTTCTTCAACATCTATTTGTATTCAATTGAACCAATAATATCTTCAATCTTCATTTTGATTGTCCAAATCCATTATTGAAATGTTACAATTTAGTCCCCATACTTGACTTTTTATCCTTTTTTGCCAATTTTTGCTTCTTTCTTTCAATTCAACTTCCACTTATCGAGTTTTATCTAATAAACGAAATATAAAATGAACTAGACTATAGTTACTTTAAAAAAAAACTATTAAATTACTATACTTTTAGACCCAAATAAGAGTATAAAATACACTTATCATATTGTATATACAGAACAACATACAAAATTAAACTTATTTTGTTTCTTAAACATACCTTGCCTAACATGCCACTTAAAAGTTCTCCCAATTGCAAGAAACTAAAATCATTCAAGTCCCATTTTTTAACTTCAATATTATTTTTTGGAATTGATAATATCATACATAAGATAATAAATTTGAAATGGGTCGTCGTATATTTAACAGCGTAAAATTAATAAATAACCCAAAAATAGAGCGTTAGCAGTGTAATGGTTAAATAAAAACTTGAGAAATGATTACAGAAAAATGTAATGCATGTGCAGAAAAAGGACTTAGCCCAATATGGAATGAGAAGTTTGAGTTCAGGGTCGATTCTCCATTGGCGAATGACGATCAATACAAGCTCGTGCTCGAGATCATGGATCACAACTCCTTTTGTGCAGATGACTATCTTGGCAAGGCAACGTAAAACATTAGGGAATTTATCAAATGCGCATATTTTTTAATCTATATTCAATCTTATTCTTATTTAATCCAGTGACTTACTATAGCCTAAATGCATTGCAGGATCTACGTGAAGGAACTTATAGAATTGGGGGTGGAAAAAGGAAAGGCTGAACTCCATCCTCAAAAATATAGAGTTGTCTCCACAAATAAAACTTACCATGGAGAGATTCAAGTTGGAATTACTTTCACTGTAGCAAAGGTACACTTTTCTAATATTCACTCAAACACTATGAATTAATCAAATGAAATCATTTGCCTTCTCATTTTCTAAAAAATAAACAACAACAATATGTTACTAATGTACAAGGTTTGGTTAATTTTATTTGATTACAGGAAGAAACTATCGAACAAGAAGAGTATGGTGGACAGAAGGACAGCGATTACTAATTCTTCTACAAGCTAATTGTCACCAGATATATGACAGTTCTGTTGGGTTTTTTGACCCAAATTAGGTTAGGATTTTTTTGAAGAAAATACTTTTTCCTTAATTACACGTATTTTTATTGGAAAAAATATTATTTCCTTGATTCCATGCATTGTTATTGGAAAAAAAATATCATTTCATTTATTTCACATTATTTTTATTTTGTTTTCATCTTTGTGGTATTCTTAAGGTTTGGTGTGCACTTCCCATAAATACTAGAATCATTTCATAAGTTTTGTATTAGTGAAATATAGAATAGTTGTGTATGCATGGTTATTGTATTTGTTTTTCTTCATATTCGTCAATTGAATAAATACTCTATTTCTCTGTCACTTAATTCTTTGTCTTTATTCTTGTTGTTTGTTTACGATCACATATTTCATACCGTGTCATATATATTATATTGATCTATTTTATTTTCCAACAAGTGGTATCAAAGCTATTGGTTGTAATTTGTTCAAGGTTTTTGTAATTGATGGCAACCATGAAGCCGAAAATTCCACTCTTGGATCCCACTACAAAATTGTAGTTGTGGCAAGTGAAGATGCAAGTTGTACTTGTATAGACGAATTTGGATAATGCGTTGATTTGGCAAAATATCCACAACTTAGATAACGAAGGAGAAACAATGAAATGATAGAAAGGCACTTTCACAAATCTATCTTCATCTCTCTAGCAATATTTTTCAGGACGTTTTGAAGGAGAAAACCACATTTGTGTTGTGGTTGAAGTTTGAGGAATTGTGCATGACTAAAAGTCTGACACACAAATTACATTCAAAATAGAGGTTGTATTCTATTTTCATGGCAGAATGCGAATCTTTGGAAGATCATCTGACTGTATTTAAGGAGATCATTATTGATTTGGAGACTTTAGAGATAAAGTATGATGAAAAAGATTTAGCTTTAATCCTTTTATGTCTGTTGCCCTCTTCGTTTACTTCGTTTAGAGACACGATCTTGTATAGTCGTGATACTCTTAACGCTGAAGATATGTATGGTGCTTTTTTTTCAAAAGAAAAGATGAAGCATCTAATTAAATTTGAGGCCAGAGATGAAGAATGCCTTGTTTTTCATGGTGATTAGAGAATAGGTAAGTCGAGATCAAATTTCAGTAATCAAGTTTGTTATTATTGCAAGAAGAAAGAACACAGTAAGAGAGATTGTGACAAATTGCAGAACAAAATTAATTTAACTGCAAATCATGATAAGCAATCAAATAATTCAAATGAGACCAACATAGTCGAGAACTATTTGAATGATGGAGATATTTTGACGATTTCTGACATGGAATCCGAACCTAACGAGGAGTGAATTTTGGATACAGCTTGTCCGTTTCATATGTGTCCCCAAACGGGATTTGTTTGAAACATATGAAACGATGATTTCGGGTGTCGTTGTTGTGGGTAACGACGAACTTTCTCAGGATAGCTAGTATTGGTAAAGTCAGATTGAAGTTATTGAATGGAATATGTAAAATACTTGATCATGTTTGATATACTCCAGACTCGAAGAAGCATCTCATTTCATTAAATACTCTTGATTCAAAAGGTATGCGTTCTCTAGAGAAGATGAAGTTTTAAGAGTTCGGAAAGGTGTTCGTGTTGTATTGGAGGGGCGAAAGAGATTCCAATTACACATCTTGCAAGGTCGGGCTAAATTTGTATAGAAAAGTCAGTACTGATTTAGTACATAGTGGAGATTCAATTTAGTACTTTATCTTTGGGATTTTGTTCAGGGTCAACATTGAAGAATACTACTCAGTTGAGTTTGGAGGATATGGGTAATTTCGCTTTGCTACCATTACCTATGTTTCCATCATTCAACTGCTAAGGATAGACCCACTGGAGATTGGCACGTAGATCCTAATTCAATTGCACATGCTTTTAGCATTTTTTGAAGGTGTTGAGACTAGCCATGGGCATTCTATGAAAGTATTAGGAGTTGATTCTACTATAGTGTGTGCTTCAACACTGTTTGGTAACTTATATTCTTTTTGAATTTTGGGAATTCGATGTTTGGGTTTATATATCTGTACTGGATACAGTGGAAAAGAATGAGTATTTTGTGTTAGTAAAAGTTTGGTTCTTGTTGAAGAGTTCAAATCTTTTCATTGTAGTCAGATATATTTTTTTAAGTAGAGAAATTTGGGTGCTTTGTTCGTTGCATCGAATTTGTGTCAATGTGGAGATTTTTGGACTCAAATTGGGTTATAGTTTTTTTGGGGAAAATAATTTTTCCTTAGTTACATGTGCTTCTATCGGAAAAATATTATTTCCTTTATTCCCTGCGTTTTTATTGGAAAAAAATATTGTTTCCTTTATTACACATTATTTTTTTATCTTGTTTCCATCTTTGTGGTATTTTTAAGGTTTGGCATGCACTTTTATAAATAATTGACTGTTTTTACAAGTTTTGTATTACTGAAATATAGAATAATTGTGTATGCACGGTTATTGTATTTGTTTTCTCCATATTTGTCAATTGAATAAAATACTCCACTCCTCTGTCAATTAACTCTTTACCTTTAATCTTGTTGTTTGTTTGTGATCATATATTTTATATCATGTCATATATATTACATCGATCTTTTTTAGTTCCCAACAAGTGGAATCAGAGCTATTGGTTGTGATTTGTTCGAGGTTTTTGTTATTGATAGTAGCCATGAAGTATAAAACTCCATTCTTTGATGGCAATACAAAATTCTAGTTGTGGCAAGTGAATATGCGAGATATACTTATTCATACGGATTTGGATAATGCGTTGTTGAGATTTGACAAAATGCTAACAACTTGGACAACGAAGAAAAAACAACGTAAGGATCGAAATGCACTTTCACAAATCCATCTTCATCTCTCTAACAATATTTTTCAGGAAGTTTTGAAAGAGAAAATGGCAGCTACGTTGTGGTTAAAATTGAAGCAATTGTACATGACTAAAAGTCTGATAGACAAATTGTATCTAAAATAGAGCTTGTATTCTCATTGCATGGCAGAAGGTGGATATTTGGAAAATCATCTGACTGTCTGGGCAAGGAGATCATTGCTGATTTAGGGAATTTAGAGGTAACATATGATGATGAAGATTTAGCCTTAATCCTTTTATGTTCGATGTCCACTTAGTTTACTTCGTCTATAAACACAATCTTGTATAGCAGTGATACTCTCACCATTGAAGATATGTATGATGCTTTATTTTCAAAATAGATGAAGCATCTGGTTGAATCTGAGGTCAGAGATGGAGAACGCCTTGTTTTTCATGGTGATTAAAAAAGGGATAAGTCGATGTCAAAATTCAGTAATCATGTTTGTTATTATTGCAAGAAAAAAGAACACATTAAGAGGGATTATGACAAATTTCAGAACAAAAGTAATTTGACTGCAAATCATGGGAAGCAATCAAATACTTCAAATGAGACCAACAAGTCGAAAACTATTTGAGTGATGGAGATATTTTTACGATTTCTAACATGGAATCCAAACCTGACGAGGAGTGGATTTTGGATACAGCTTGTGCTTTTCATATGCGTCCTAATAGGAATTTGTTTGAAACGGTGATGCAAGGTGTCGTTGTCGTGGGTAACAATGAACCTTTAGTGTAGTTGGTATTGGTAGAGTCAAATTGAAGTTGGTAAATGGAACATATAAAACACTTGATCACATTCGATATATTTTAGATTCGTATTTAACTACTAGGAATAAACCAATTAGAGATAGGTACGAGGATGCTGATTTAATTGCACATGCTTTTAGCATTTTTGAAGGTGTTGGGACTAGTTAGAGGTATCTATGAAAGCATTGTAAGTTGATTCTACTACAGTGTGTGCTTCAACATGTTTGGTAATTTATAATTCTTTGTGAATTTTGGGAATCAAGTGTTTGGGTTTATATATGTATATTGGATACAATGGAAAAGAATGAGTATTTTGTGTTGGAAAAAGTTTGGTTCTTATTGAAAGTTTGAATTTTTTTCATTGCAGTCGAATATATTTTTCTAGGTGGAGAAATTTTAGAGTTTCTTTAGTTGCATCAAAATTTGTGTTAAGGTGGAGAATGTTGGAATTTTTTGACCCAAATTAGGTTAAAGTTCTTTTTGGGAAAAATAATTTTTTCTTAATTACACATGGTTTTATTGGAAAAATATTATTTCCTTTATTCTACGTGTTTTTATTGAAAAAAAATATTGCTTCCTTTACACATTATTTTTTATCTTGTTTCCATTTTTGTGGTAGTTTTAGAGTTTGGCATACATCCTTATGAATACTTAACTCTTTTCATGTGTTTGTATTACTAAGAATAGAATAATTGTGTAGGCTTATTTTTTGTATTTTGTTTTCTCCATATTTGTCAATTGAGTGAAAATACTCCGTTCATCTACCAATTAATTCTTTGTTGTTTGTTTACAATCATATACTTCATATCGTGCCACATATATAATCTCGACTCTTTTTATTTCCCAACACTTTCTGCATCCATTGATTTTATTTCAGTGAAAATTATTTACAATGCACACTTTGTAACATCGTTCAATTCATTAGATGTATGTTTGTAACAATACCTCCCTGTATCTTTGAAGTAATTAAATTGCATGTATACATATGGATTATTTTGGCAAAAATGTACTTTATGTAAAATAAATATGCATTTTTATTTTAATCTGAGTTTCTTATCTTCAGACAATTGAGTAATTAGATTTTGGATTTTCAATATCTCCTATATGTTGGTGAAGATAAACAACTCCATTATAGATTCCAAGACACATGATGATGCTCTCCTTTAATCTATATTTGTCCGCATTATACTTCTTCATCTTTTAAAAGGTTGAACCCCAACTTTAAGGATCCCCCACCACCTCGTCCCTGAAATATCGTGAGAAAGGTTAATCGTGATATATGCTCCAGCAGACCAAGGAACAAAAGCTGTCTGTACGCTGGTACCCATAAAAAGTTTTCAATTCATGTTTCAGAAATTGAACCCTATAATGCGGCTACCAACAAAATTGAGTATACCTCACCCTTGTTCTTTGTACAACTGGGATATGCCCCGGAGGACATACTTCTTCATCTTTTGCTCATACGAATGGTGTCCCCTTCATCAAGTTTCATAACATGTGCTTTTTACCTTGATCTATTGTTACTTGATTTGTATATTCATCTTTGAGCCAACGTACTAATGTACGAGACAACATTATTTGAAAATTTTCTCTAATAGTCATCCATCTTTTTCAAAATACGGCGTTCGAAAAAACTTTCATATAAGTTCACTAAACGCTAAACCAAGGTGGTGTGTGGTAACTAGGCTTTGAACTAGTGACCCCATATGGTTAACCGGATGTATTCCCTACGCAAGTTTGATAATCTTTAAGTGTTGATAAAATTGATATGTGATAAGCCATGTGTCCTATATTTTTTATTCATGATTATCTTAAGTTGTGGCCAAAATACTTTGAAGATGATATCATGTCATTCGTATATTCTATAAATTACTATATGAATATAAGAGCTAGATAATTTAACCTCTAATTTTTTGTTTCATTTACCGAATACTTTCTCTTGGGGATAAAATATTTGTGTTTGAAATCAGATGCATGATGTACCTTACTCGTTGAATCTTAGAACTTGATGTTTTAAATGTTAGGTTGAGTTTTATCATTCATGGTCATTAGCTGCCCACAGTTTCATTCCCTTTGACATTTTTCAAACTAAATCACTTACGAGGCTTTTCGTTGAATGAGCTGTCAAATTTTGACTTGACTTTAAATAATCAATTGTTACCATCTGTTATTAATTGTCTAATCGAGTTGTATCTTAACTCAATATGTCTAGATTATAGACATGAATACAAGCATTAGACAAAGATGCTTCATATCACAATGGATGGAAACTTGTGGCATCGATTTAAGCCAAATAGGAATCTCCCTTGATGAATTCCTAAGCCATTTCGCTTGCTTACTGCATGAAGCAAATTCTATGAACTCAACTACCATGGCGGATTTTGCAAATCATGAAAGAATTCCAATCAATCCCATGCTTTCAGCAGTATATTCATTTTCAATCTCATGACCTTAGCAGCAGATTAATATTTCTCATTTCTGTACACTGTTAGCAGAGTTCATTGTGTCATTTCTGTGTATTGATTTATTTCCTTTCTCTTTCTTTAAGTTGTATAAATCTTTTATTTTTATAATAAAAAGAAGGGTAAATATATTCACACCACAATTTTTGTTACCTACACCCATTTTAATTGCAATGAATATCTCTAAACTTTTCTTATTTTTACATTTAAGTTCTCAGCTTTCTTGAAAAAAAAAATTATCATTAACCCTCTATTAATTTTCACATCTTCTCTATACATAGAGATGATTTTCGTTCAAAATATTTGTTATGAGGAAAGAAAAAATATATCTATCTCTTGTATTTTTAAATAACCGAAATAAATAACTTATACAAAAGTTGAACAAAATATTTGCCTCTCTTTCCAATACAAGTTAGTAGAATATTTAGATAAAAATCGAAAATATGTTAATTAATTGAAGATTAATAATAACAATACGATGAGAAAAAAGTTGAAAACATTATAGCAAATGTAGGCAAATATTGAAAATTGTGCTTGTAATTATAATGTTGTGCAAAAGTAAAAAAATGTTGTGTGAATATAATTACACTAAAAATGAATATAGGGAACTTTCCAGCAATATTCATTTCCCTTTAGAACCAATATGGTCAATGTGGTTCATTTTATCTACCAAATTAAATCTTGTTACTCATTCCAAGATAATGATAAAATGCTCATACAAACACTATGTAGCAACGCAATAGCATTTTCCATGACATATTTTGTTAAAGGGATATTTCGATCAATTGCTTAAAAGTTGTGGGGAAAAAATACATTGAAAAAGACGATTCTTTTACAATAAAGTTATGAGTACATAAGCCAATTCATAAAGGTGTCCAAAAATGCTAAGGTGGCATTTTTTTTACCCAATTTCTCACAAGTGAGAACAAGACCAAACAATAAAAAGGAAATAAAAAATGTGTGAAACCCAACAAATTCAAATTGAAATTAGCCCTACCATACAGACATTTCCTTTTCATTTTCATTCACTCTTTCCCGTCATTTTCATTTTCATTCACTCGTTCCCGACAAATACGCTTCTTCGTGGAAGGCGACCCCATTCCCGGCGACTCCAGAATCTTCAATGCAGTCTAAAATTGCGAATTCCCCTTTCATTTTCATTCCCAGTTACCACATTGAACCCTTCCGCTCCTGGAAGAGGCGACTCACGCCACTGTCATTTTCATTCACTTGTTCCTCGGCAAATACGCTTCTTCTTCGAAGGTGACCCCATTCCCGACAACTCTAGTATCTTCAACGCAGTAAAAAATTGCGAATTTTTCTTTCATTTTCATTCCCAGTTACCACATTGAACCCTTCCGCTCTCAGAAGAGGCAACTCACGCCACAGTCGACCCTGTTCCCGGAGACAACGACACCTTCAACACAGACAACACCTTCAACGCAGTCATCACCCATGTAATGGAAGGGCTTGCAGAGCAATTTTTCTCATTCCCTGATATGGTAGCAGGTCGAGTTGAAGACAACAACGATGGATTTGCAGATATCACAGGCTCAAATGGTAAATCACGTTTTCCTCTCCATTCGAAATCTCACGGTTTACCAATTAGATAACCATGTACAAAACTAACACATGATTTTCCTTCTTCCTCCGCCTCTACAGAGAATGACAGGTATATTGAAGGAGGGTCAGTTTCAGACAACATGGTTGCTGAGATTACCGACCACGATATGCTTTGTTCATTCGTGAAGTTTGCAGTTATACGTTTGTCACATACCTAATGACAATAAATGGTCATTTTACAATATAGGAATTGTCTGACTGTTTTGATAAAAAACTGGAATGTAGCATAGTTGCATATCACTACATTGACTTCATTAAAACAGTTGTTTCTGCAATCTTTCACCTCATAATGTGGAACCTCATTATTGCAGAAGTGGATGATGACATTCTTGAAGGAGTGGATTTGAAGTCGTCTAATATTGTAGGTGACGACGGTTTGGCCAAGGAAATGGTAGGTGTTGAAAATGAGATAATCGTGCCTACGGTTGGTATGAAATTTGTGGACGACATCGAGGTATTCAAATTTTATAAGAGATACGCTTATCAAGTAGGATTTCCTGTTAGAAAATGAAATACAAAGAGGGGAGATAATGGGTCAGTACGGTATGTGAGTTTTACCTGTAGTCGAGAAGGGTGACGAAATCATAATAAAAGCACATCATTGAATCCTCCACCAACAATTCAAATTGGGTGTAAAGCCAGGTTGACTGCGTGTTCTGATGCATGTGGAATATTTCGAATGAACATGGTACATTTAGAGCATAACAATAAAACAAGCCCATCTAAGTTCAAGTTGTATAGATGTAATAGGCAACTTAGTGAACGTGTCAAAAGACGACTTGAGGTAAATGACATAGCAGGCATACCATTGCATAAAAGCTTTAATTCAACTGTAATGGAGGCAGGTGGTTTTGATAATATAACATGTGTTTGAAAGATTGCAGAAACTTCATCGAGAAAGTGCGACGTTTAAGACTAGGGGAAGGGGATGCCCTTGCAATTCAAGCTTACTTCGCAAAAATGTAGTCATGTAATCCTGGTTTTTTCTTTAATATGGACTTAGATGATGATTGTCGGTTGAGAAATGTGTTTTGGGTAGATAATAGATGTCGTGAAGCGTATAAAGAATTTGGAGATGTTGTTACTTTTGACACCACATACCTTATGAACAAGTATGATATGCACTTTGCTCCTTGCGTGGGGGTCAATCACCATGGGCAATCAACTCTTCTTGGCTATGGTTTGGTTTAAATGAGGATACTAACACATTTGTTTGGTTGTTTCGGACATGGTTGGAATGCATGAATGGTCAAGCTCCTAATGGAATTATTACAGATCAAGATCGAGCTATGCAAAATGCTATTCAAATTATTTTTCCGAAGGCGAAACATAGATGGTGCTTATGGCACATACTAAAGAAGTTGCCAGAGAAGTTTGGCTATCACAAAGCCAAAGGTCCAATAATGCATGCTATACATGTGTTAGTCTACGACACATTAAGTTGTGAAGAATTTGAGGAAGGCTGGTTGAATATGCTTGATCAGTTTGAATCACGAGATCTTGATTGGTTGAGTGGACTCTATGAAGAGGGAACTCGTTGGGTACCATGCTACCTGCACACTACATTTTGGGCAGATATGTCAACCACACAAAGGAGTGAGAGCATGAATGCATTCTTCGATGGCTATGTGCATTCGAAGACTTCTTTGAAGCTTTTTGTAGAGCAATATGAGCGAGTGTTGAGAACTAAAGTGGAGAAAGAATTTCAGGCTAATTTCAGATCATTTTCTCAAATGATTCCATGTGCCACTAAGTACGATATGGAGAAACAATTTCAAGTTGTGTACACTATCACGAAATTTAGAGAGTTCCAACAAGAGTTCATGGGGAAGGTCTACTGTGACGTTTTATCTATGACAGACTGTTCTGGGAAAACGAAGTACGTGAGGATATCATTCTTAGTGAAGGAATGTAGAAAAGAATATTTATAGTGAAATTCCTTAGTGACAGTTGTGAGATTGAGTGCAATTGTCATTTGTTTGAGTTCCGAGGTATCATTTGCAAACACTCAATATCGGTTTTAATTCGGAATAACGTACAATTGCTTCCCGATAAGTATGTCTTGCGGAGATGGAGGCGAGATGTTAGTCGACCATATATGCGGGTCCCAACGACATACGATGGTTTGGTTTGTACAGCTGAGCAATTAAGGTACGAGAGGTTGTGTCTCACTTTTACGAAGATGGCAGACTTGATAGCGCTAAATGAAGAACAGTCCAATCATCTATTGGGGTGGATTGAATCCCAAACAAACCAATTATCTAAATCAAATTGTGGTAACTCGGTTGTGCACGTACCTGAAGCTCAAAAATGATGAAAGCATCCACATTTGGGACCCGAAGCTTACAAAAAGAAAAGGTGCCCCCAGAAAGTTGCGCAAAAAGAGTCCGTTGGAGGTGAATTCAAAAAAACCAAAGGGTCGAAAGAAGGTCTTACTATCTCTGCATTACTCTTATCTCAATTGTATAATCAGTCAATTGCCTTTTAACCAACTTATTGTTTACATCATGTACAGGTTCCAACAAGTTCAACACTTTCGCTTAAGTGTAGTGGATCGGAAGAAAATGTATTGAACACAAAAAATGATGACAAGGCTGAAGATCATTGCATTTCATCTTCTCAAACACACCAACTTTTTGTAACACAAGAGAGCGTTGATGTTATTGAACGTTTGTAGGGAGAATCTATTGTTTTGAATGTGTTCTTCTACACTAAAGGCGTTTAACCTATTTCTTTTGATGTGGAAGGTGGTAAAAAAAAAATCCGCTGGTCATGCTAAGAAACTTGCAGCCAGTGTACAGAGAAAGAACATGTTCTGATGGTACTGTTACATTGTTTTCCCTTTTGGTAATTGTTTGATCCAGCTTTCCTAATGTGTTTAACTACCCAATTCCATGATCTTATTTAGTTTTAGGTATTATCTGTGTTGGAGGTGATGGAATCGTGAATGAGGTTTGCAGAACTATCATTTCCATTCATGCTCGTTCATTCATGTTATATGAATAAGTGGGGTACTTTTGAGCAAATTTGGTTCTAGTTTTTGGGTGAAAATTTTGTAATAACGTTATTAAGGTAGCCCCAATTGTCTATTATTTTGTAATATTCAGGTTCTAATATTTTGTAAACTCAGGCAGAATCTAAATGTTATGTGGCTCGAATTATCTATTACGAGTTTTTCCTTTCGTGTCTATTACGGTTATGAATGGGTTGTGGGTATAGATACTATGGACTACGTCAAAATAATTGATATTAAGACAGAGTCAAAATAATATTTGTTAGGGGACATTACAAGAAAGGCATGGAAATGTAATCAGCAATAATCTTAGTTAAGCATGTAAAGTCTCTGATCCTGCTTTTCTCTCTAAATTATACCATGGTAGTCACTTGGTTAAAAAAAGATAGAATTGTTCTCAACTGCTCAAGTATTTTCTTACGGTGAACTAAATATAAAAACAAAAAAAGGAACATTAATCTTACTCTGTTGATGCATGCCCATTTGCATTGAAGCAAAATTCCCCATAACATTATTTGTCAGATAATATGCCCAAAATTTAAGCTTCTCAAGCGTCCAGTGAACATAAACATAGAACCGTGGAATTAAAATGTGGCTCAACATTAACATAAACATAAGTGTCGTTGAAATATCCGATTACATAAGTTCGACGGATAGCTACAACTACATAAGACACAAAAACATAAACATAAACATAAACATAAAAATCAGTTCTCCTCCCTACGCTTTCCCTTGGCAATATCTTCCAACTTCCCCTTTCCCTTCCGGATAGTTATGTTGAATGATATCTCAACATCCTCTTCTTCTATCTTTAATTCGGCAACACTTTTCAACAAGTCATCCATTGGTGCTTTAGCTTTGCTTGGAGACGTCCCAACGAGGCTTGATTGCATTCCATCACAATAATTATTGGATTGTCCTTCAAACGGCAAGGGTTTCTTCTTCAAGGACTTCCCGTCATTCCAGTCGAAATATCCACAATCTTTTGTACAACACAAGAATATTCGGCCTATGTTGTTCGTCTTCTTTTCAACCTCCATCATTTTTACAATTCCTTGTAAAGAGTTAGGACATTTTTTTTGGACAGTCATACAGTTGATGCCCAAGATCTCGACAACTATGGTAGATACCCTTATTCTTTCCAGCCATTCAATATTACAGCTGTGGAAGATTTGTATCGAAATCGAAAAACACCCAAAGCTCAGCTTGCTTAATTAATACGATTATATGATACAGTACATTCACAATGCATTGATTCTCAAACTACGTCATGTAATACTATTATGCAATATAGTACATTCACAGGAAATAGCATAATCTAAGTTCATAGGAAGTAGCATAATCTAAGTTCACATGAAATAGCATAATCAAAAGACGACTGTATAGCTGAATGGGGGCGACATGGTCGTGATAAGATGTAGCTAAAAACTGAACCACAAAGAACAATTTCTGTACAGTAAATCGCCACTCTAACAAGATCACATATAACCAAATAAATACAACAGCAATCAGCAGTGTTTGTGCCTTGATGACTTCCCGTCTAAATGGTAGGGAAAAAGAAAATCGTGTAGCTAAAACCCATAAAGACGTCGTGCAACTGAAACCTAAAAAAACAAAACTAAAAAAAAAGAAAAAAAACAAAATGGCTGTCAGATCTCGTGAAAACGAAAATCCATTTTGGAAGAAGAGTAAGCTGAATCATACCATCGTTGAGGATATAGGAGTTGATCTGTGACCAAAACGGTAAAACTGAAACCCAAAAACGGTAAAAGGTTATCTACCAAACAAAAAGAGAAACCCACTCATTCTGGGGGTTGATTACTAATAACGTTGTCGGGAGCGAGTTAAGATTCTGGGGTCGCCAGGAACGGGGTCGCCTTCGACGAAGAAGCGTATTTGCCGGAAACGAGTGAATGAAAATGAAAAGGACGGGAACGAGTGAATAAAAATGAAAAGGAAATTTGTACATTAGGGCTAATTTCAATTTGAATTTGTTGGGTTTCAGACATTGGGCTGGGCAAATTATATTGGCATCACAGCCCAATAATGTCAAACAATTGATAGACCTACAAATCTTTTATAAAGAACCACACACACACACAGAGAATGATAATATCGTGTACTAGCCAGTCTGTGACTTTCCACCCTCATTTCTTTAACTAAATAAAGCAATTAGATCCTGGTTTGTAAATGAAATTTCATGTTCATTGTCTTGAACTATCTTGAGAGATATGTGCATAATAGTGAGATTATAGTGTGTAGCAATTGTCTTTGAAGTAAATATGTCATCATCCTAAAATATCACCATCATGACTCAAAAATAATTCACATTAGAATCGACTTAATCAGATGCTTTATTTTCACTCTCGCAAATATTCTTCAAAAGTAATCTTTATCAATAGAACCAAAAGAATAGTTGGGAAATAAAAATCACAAATTTATCTTGTATTTAGAGTGATCAACATTGAGAACATTTTATAAAATACGATACATGTTAGTATGCGATGTAGTCGATGGTAAAAAAATTGCAAAAATAAATTCTCCTCACCTGTCTAGCTCCATGACGATCGACCATTTTTCATTCATTTGAAAATTAACTGAAGTAATAAATTGGGATGGGTATCGATTCCATATCTTCATTTTAATTTACTGTTGAAATGAACTGAAGAAAAAGAAAGCTAAATAGATGGTCCATAAACGATTAGTTTGGATCAACTAATAATCTCATCAAACAGCCCAAGTCGTCTTAGCTGCGTCTAACATGTGCACATACCATTCAGATAAAAAAAAATTCATTTTTAGTTTAAAAAAATTTATAAATTTTTCCAACAAATTGTAAATAAAATAAAATATATCTAAGCAAATGCACTTACAGACCCAAAATAATGAAAACAACTTCTTTTCATTCTTTTCACTAATTTAAAAGTGGCAAAATAGTAATTTTGCATTATATATATAAAATAAATTAAAAAGATAAATGTTTTTATTTTATTTTAAAAACTTTTTTTTAATTTAGTTTTTATTTCATTTTATTTATCTAAGTAACGTTTTTCTAAAATAAGTTTTTATTTTATTTTAAAAATGTTTTGTTTAACAAAAGTTTTTATTTTATTTTATTTTTTAAGTGACTTTTTTTATATAATTTTTTAATTGATTTTTTAATTTATCTTATAAATATAATGCAAAGTTACCGTTTTAACCCTTTTAAAATTAATGAAAAAGGATGAAAAGAAGTTAAATGGCCATAGTGAAATGTTATATGAAATCAAATGATCATGGTGAAACGTTAGATTGGATGACCATGGTGAAAATAAATAAACATTTCACTTATACTTAGTAAGCCCCTTTGTGTCATTCATTTTTTTCATAATTATTTTTTCTCAAACTAATATTTAATCATACATTCATACAATAAAATAATTTGCATATAAATTTAATTTTTTTTTTAACCATACATTCTTCAAAAATTACTATTACAAAATTTATTTTCTAAAAAATAAAAAATAATGGCTATCAAACGGAGGTTACCCCCCTCAGGGCAGTTTGGTGGCCTTTAATTTGAAAATGTTATGTTTTCAATAGTAATTATGTGATTAAAAAATGAAATTTTTTTATTATTATTTATATGTAGAATATTTTATTATACGAATATGTAATCGTAAATAACTATCATAAATAAATTAAATTAAATTAAATTACTTTACAGACAGAGAGAGAGAGAGATGGTGGGTCAAAGGTTATGTCCCTAATGAACAGCAGATTCGCCGCGGCACCTTCACTACACTCACACGCCACGGCAGCGAAAGGAGCACAAACAAAATCGTGGGGTTTTAGAGTGGTTTCAGGGGCATTGATTTGTTTGACAGGAGGAGTAGCGCTGAGTGCTCTTAATGATCTTGCCATTTACCATGGTTGTAGCAGGTTATGCTCTTTATGAAATATATTTGTTGTGACTAGAACTATGATATTGGTGCTTCCATATTTTCAGCTATTAAAACGTGTTATGAAAATGCGATTTTATAAATGGCATTCTGCCTGATGATGACACCTGACTTTATTCCTACCGTTGGATGAAGGGTTACATTTTTGGTGATATATATGGGATTTGATGATTCGTTTGGCTAAGCGACTTTTCATTTTGTCTGACTCTTGAGTGAGATTCAAGAGTGTTCTTCTATTCTCTCGAGTTAGGGTTTTCTGTTTCCCTATTTTCTTGTAATCGATCATCTCATTCGATGTGTATTTTGGAAGGCTGTTAACCACTGAATACTGGTATATTCTTGAGTGATACCTAGAGTCCTCATGTGTTGAGGTTAGGGATGTGGTCTGTTGATTCGTTGTGAGTCTGAGGCAGATATGTGGTTCCTTCGAAGAGACAAGTCTCTTTCTTGTGTATTCTTGTAGTAGTTGAACTCTGTAACCTTCGATTGCCTATTTTTGGGGCTTTAGTGCAATTGAGCTATATCCACTTTCGATTGGATGCTCAATAGGAAATTAGGTGCTTAGTCACTGAACCTCTGGGATTTCGACTGAAAAATCTTGTTGTGTTCTTTATTTTCTGCAAGTTTAATTTCTGTTATTTTGATCGATTGTATCTTGCAACTTATTGTGTGGGTTTTTGGCCCTCTTTCAGTGGTATCAGAGTGTTGAATTGGGGCAAGATACCTGGATCTTTGAAGGAGGGAATCGATATGCTGCAGATCTAAAATTTTTGGAACTGCTATTAAGCAGTATTGAAGGACCTTGAGTATTTTATACTGTTGGGTGAGATCTTTTAATTTTGTAAAGTTTACTTTCCGAAATTTGTGTGTTTCGATTTTTTTCCCTTGATTAACCATACAAAAACTACCCACTGGTGCC